TTTATATAGCTTTAGGAGGAGGGGCTCTCTCCAACTCCTCTTAGGAGATTATCCTCAAAAATAGAAAGTCCTAATCAGTTTTGATCTAATCCTATCCTATCTCTTATCTAATAATCTCAATCCTCTTATCCTTCTAGAATTACATTTGAAATTTAAATCTGATGGGACTCTTCATTTTTGAATTCGAGTTGGGCTTTTTTAATAAATTGAGCTGCTACAAGGCATTTCTACGAATTGGGCTTCAGCTGTGAACTGGACTTCTCTACGAATTTTCTCCAAATTTGGGCCCGATTTTGACCTCGATGTAGGCCGAATCTGTCAAAACCCAAAACACAAAAGTTGTATATTTCTCCCTTATCTTTCCGGTGCATCTTGAATCATCCCAATCGGAGTCCGGGTTTGAATGTTATGCCCAGATTACTGAATGGTGCCGAAACTGTGCAAAATCGTCCGATTAGCCTTGTTTTCCTCCTGTCGCCATCTTGCTTGCCCTGAATCGAAATACAAGAGTAATGAGTCCAATTAGGTGCTAATTTAATGTAAATGAATGAATATTTGAGGATAAAAATATGATACTTTTTATTCCCATCACCAACTTAGGACAAGAAAACAGGGCTGTTGTAAAGAACATACTGAAATACCCATGAAGGACTAAAGACTATTGTCTTGTCTTCAATGTCTTTAATGGTAGTTCACTACAAATGGTCGTATATACAGATATTGATTTCTAATCTGATCTAGATGATAAAAAATCTACATTTGGGATCCTATGTAGTGATTTAGAAAACTAGTCAATCACCGAGGCCAAGTACATAGTTGTAACTGAGGCTGCCAAATAAGTAGTATGGATGAAGAAATTCATCTAAGAATTTAGAGTCATACCACATCACCAATTCCACTATTGTGTGATATCCAGATTCAGAATTTAGCATTAGTGGAAAATGTGACAAACCCATTAACAAAGCCACTCACACAAAAAGTGTTTGAGAAACACGTGGATAGTATGAGACTAAGGCTTATCCGACTAAACCTAAGTGCAAGTGGGAGCTGTTAGACAGTATATGCCCTTAACTCCAATCAAATTGATGTATATAAACATTTTTTTGTAAATGAATAAAGTATATTATTGTTTCATGTTAACATTGGTATGTTTCTGTGTATTACCCCTTAAATTGAACACTTAAGAGATTCATGCTAGTTTAAAATGTTCTTAGCCAATGGATAGATTTAGGAAGTTTATCCTGACAAGACTGACACTGGCATGCTACCAAAGAGTTGGAGCAACTTCTCTTATCTACTAAGGTTAGACCCCAGGCACAATCAGTGGGTGTTTATTAAAAGCACTATACTCGGACCAATTTCTAGTTGCCCTAGACTTTGGAGATAGATGGATGGGCAAAACTGAAAAGTTACACATAACCCCAAACTTAATTATGGTATTACACTAAGTGTTGGACTGAGCTATTTTTGATATGCTAACCAATGAGATCCATTAAGGGTCAAATACCTAGGTATGTTGGGGTAATCTAAGAATTCACCTGAGTAGGTGATCATAATGATAAGATTGACCTGTTTGTCGTATAAAGTGAATATCAGGGTTTACACTCTCTCTAATGAAAACCTAAACTGCTAGCAATGAATTTCACCTATGTTTGGAATCTGGTTTTATAAAAGTATTTATATGTTATATATTACTATTTTATTAAAAAGGTTTACAAAAGATTTTAATAATTGGATCCATCTTAACAGGACGTGTGGCACAGCACCTTGCATCCAAGGAAGAGGTCCTTCCTTGTTGGGCAATGTTATTGATCATTACGGGTCGAGAGTAGGGGTCATCATTTCAACCCGGCCCGGCCTGACCCACACAAGGCCGACCCGGAATTCCGGGCTTGGGCCTAGGTTTTGTGTTCAGGCCTGGCCCAAGCCCAGGCCCACATCAGGCCTATAAACTTTAGGGTCGGGCTTGGGCTTAATACTTTAAGTCCAGTCCGAGCCTGGCCCGACTCGTATATATTTAAACTTAGACATTTTGTGTATAATGTATACATATATATACATGTCATTTTACATTAGATTATATATTTTATATAAATATTATAGCATGACACATTAAATTTATATTATATGTAATATTTTATATTATATAATGTATAAAATAATTTTATATGCATGTTATGTCATTTAATATAAAATATTATAGATATGTAATGTTTTATATATGGAAGACATTGGCCCAAAATCAAGCCCAGCCTGGCCCGGGCCCTGTAGACCTGAGATTAGGGCTTATGTTTTAGGTCCAGAACCCCGGCCCGGGCCTATGCTATAGCCTTTATCATTAGTGCAAAGCCCAACTTGGGCCCAGCTCAACCCAGCCTGTGATCACCCCTAGTCGAGAAGTTGAGTGTAAGAGACCATTATAAGGTTGATTACCTGATGGGCTTTGTCTTACATGAGTCTATTATCCTTGGGTCTTCATAGGCTGGATTAATCCAATGATCATTTAGGTGTAAATGTTGAAACCAAATTGGACCAATGCTGATTGGGTTAGGGGTTCATTGCCTTGAGAAGTTAATTCAGCCTAGCCTCTTTTAGAGGTTCGGCCAAACCCATATGGGCTCATGTGAGATCATTGTGGGGTCTTATGCTATACAATGTCAAGCCTAAAGTGGCCATGCAACACCGCCGTGAACCTTTGAAGTAAATGGGCTTGAGGCCCAAAATTAATAACATTAATTAAACCTTTTAAGTTATCATGTGCTTTCGGTCAAATTTGGGTTTGGTATTGGGTATGGAGCACCTATCCTCTCAAGAGGATAAGGTTTATCTTTTAATAGAGTTTAGATCCAAATCAGATTTGAATAATCTCCTAATTATATTAGAAGAGTACTCCATATGGAGATAAAAGAGAAGAGGGCGAACTAGACTAGGAGTCTTCACACTCTTGCTCTCTCTTCTTCTCTCTTGTCTTCCAAGAAACCCTAATTTAACCTAGGGCTTTCAAGAACTAATTTTTTATTAGTTTTTCTTCTAATTACAAGAAAAACGTTGAGGAAGATTAGGCTCACTCACCCCATTCGATTCAAGCAAGTTGGATAGTAGTTTTGGAGAAAACAGTGTTGCTAAACCGGCTTCACCTATTTTTATGACTGATTTGGGCATGAACTTCTACCTTGGGATTTGTTTTTGTGGTATCCATATCAATTATAATTTTCCCTTTTGATTTGGTTTTAAATCTGGTCCAATTCAGTACAATATTAATTCAGAAAAACGCAGTTTTTTCAAAACACTGAGAAATCGGTTCCTAAAAGGGTTAAAAAATTTTTGAAATTTCGCCCAGCCATCTAACATGGTTCGACCATCCATAAGATGGACTCTAATCCTCCAACATATTTGTCACTCCCCCCAAAGTATAGGGTACCTATCTGTAATTTACCGTATTTAATGAAAACCACAAAATTATTAAATGTTCATCCAGTAACTGACATTACTCTAAATTCTAATATACTTAGTAGAAACACAAAAAAAGCTAAATGTTAGTAAAAATATATATAATTCCTTTATACATGAAACTAAATAACTATAACGCTTCAAACATTAAAATTGAAAGTTCAAAGGAATCCAAAACCCTAAAATACCAACCAACATGATAGTCCACATTCAAACTGAAATTCAACAAACACGTGAAGAAACAAAACCCACCAAAAAAGATTCTTGACTTTGAGATGTTGAGATCCATTCCACCAAATTAAATCCCAATTTCCAATCCTCTATAGAATTTTCACTCCAAAACTAAAAGTTTCCCAACAATCAGCAAAACAATTTCAAACCAACTCTTTCTATTAAATGTAAAATAAACCATGGAAGCAATTAAGCAAATGCAAAAGAGAGCTGATCTACTCCTCATAGAGCGCACCTCACACCGACCTCACAGCATGTCCTGGTCGTACATCAGGAACATCTGTTTGTATTTATTATTCATAGGGAAATATTCCCAATACATGATGGGATTTGGTTGTGAGGTCGGTGTGAGGCGTGATCTGTGATGAGTAGATCCCAATTCACCTACAACACGATTATTTTTCATGCTGTAGACAACATCTGTTTTTATGTAAGGCCCATTTTTCATTCTGAAAGGAATGGGTCCCCATGGCAAGAATTTCATACCCAACACCATTCAATCTCATTTGAAAGAATGATGCCTATGGCAGCGAATCAAACATGGGCCTTAGTCCCCATGGAATGAGAAAAAACCGTAAAAAAATACATAAAATGCAGGTTTCAGAAAGAAGAGAAAGAGGTCCATATGAGCATTGCGGTGGACTCTTGGCCTAAACTTTCACAAAAGACAAAATGAGTGAACTTTTATAAAATAAAAAGAGTATGCCAATCATCCATCCTCTTCCATTTCATACAAAATATACTCCTAAGCTTGGTAACCATCATCCAGTCTCATTTGTTCCACTACACCATTCAGCATCATATATATTTCCACTGATTTAGGATGTGACGTATCATGAGCTATAAACCTATGCAGGGTGCCGTCGACCTCTACAAAGCTACAACCTGGAGATTTCTTAACCCCTCTCTTTTCCATGGCTTCTCTTAATGTCCTAGCCTCATTCCACCGCCGAGCAACAGCATACATGTTCGATAAGCCAACATATCTACCATCATGATCCGGCTCCAACTCAATAAGCCCCCTTCCTACTTCTTCTGCAAGATCAAATTTTCCATGGGTTATGCATCCACTAAGTAAAGCACCTAAAGTCGATGAGCTTGGCTCAACAGGCATTTTACTTACGAACTGGAATGCCTCATCCAATTGACCTGCACGCCCTAGAACGTCCACCATACAAGAATAGTGTTCACTCTTAGGTGTCATGCCATGTTTACCAAGAGAGTTAAAGAAGTACCAAGCTTGCTCTACAAGTCCTCCATGAGCACATGCGCTCAATAAGCATAGATAAGTAATCTCGTCTGGGGCAATCCCTAGATTTTGCATATCTGTAAACAATTCAAGTGACTCTTTAACTAATCCATGAGTAGCAAGACCTCCAATCATAGCATTCCAAATCAACACATCTGTCTGATGAACTGAGACCCCATTGAACACCAATAAAGCTTCTTCAATCGCACCACACTTGGCATACATGTCCACTAGGGAAGTCCGTAATGTCAAACTCAAAGGCAACGCATTGTCCTTCACATACTGGTGCATCATTCTTCCTTGCTCGAGGGCACCCAAATGAGCGCAGGCACACAGCACGCTAACCATAGTAACCTCATTTGCCTCTGGCCCCACGAACCGCATCCTGTTAAAGATGGTTAAGGCCTCCCTATGGTCCCCGGCCTTAACATACCCATCAATCAAAGAGCTCCAAGATACAACATCCCTTTCAGGCATGGATTCAAATATAACACGAGCTGCGACCAGATCACCGCACTTGGCGTAGCCATCAATGATGGCGTTCCACGAGACCAAGCTCCTCTGTGGCATTTCCTCAAACAATTTCTGAGCAGAAGCTATGTCGTTACAAGATGCGTACATATGAATCAAAGAATTCCCAACAAAGCGATCCATTTCAAACCCAGCCTTAAAAATGCAGCTATGTATCGCCAAACCAAGCCGGAGTGATGATAAGCGCGCAGATGCTTTTGCTAGGAAGGGGAAGGTTAAATGATCGGGAGAGACTCCAACACGCAACATTTGGGTGAAAACAGAAATGGACCGGTTTGGGTTCTTGCTTCTCGAGTAACCCCTTATAACAGTGTTCCAATTGAAGATGGTTGGATTCGACAGATGACGAAAGACCTGATAGGAGTAATCGATATCGCCGGAATTTGAGATAGCAGAGAAAGAAAGAATTCTTGTTGTGAAAGATTCGACTTCGGAGAGTCCCAAAGCAATAATTAATGCATGTATTTGCTTCAATTCTGCCATTGATTTGCATCGATCAAGCAACGATATTAACGTGTGATTTGGATTTTGGCTTGTGCTAAGCCATGAGCGCTTCACCATTTACTAATTAAAAAAATTACAATCAGAAGAAGAATGAACGCATTTACAGAAGGACAAAGCGAATTTCACTCTAATCGCAGCGGTGTGTGTTTGTTAGCCAGGTATATAGATAGGTGGCAAATACGAGTTTCGGCCGTATCGTATCGGCACTCGAAACGGCCGAAACTCTATTTTTTTTAGTTTTTTTTCAAAGTTTGGTTTTTTGGAAAGCTTATAACCAGTTTTTTATTATTAAAAAAAGAACAGGCATTTCGGACCATATCGTTTTTAAAAGATACGATATGATATGCCCGGTACGGGGCATATCATATCGATACTTTGAACCATGGCCCGCCTTCTGGCAAATGGCAATCAGGTGGCCCAGTCTGAAATTCGGATCAGCTGCAAACAGTGTCGCATGGACCGGGATCGGAGCAGTTGAACCATGACATGCGACGTTGGCCGGTTCGATTTTATCTCAATAATTGTCTTTGATTAAAAACTAGTGAATGACCCCCTACTATTTACAAGAAAGTTCAATATATATATATATTGAAGAGAATTAGTTTTCAATTTTAAAACTATTTGATAATGCCAATTATATAAATTTGTAGTCTTCGTTACAAAAATAATAACTTTATATACAATGTTGAACATTTTATACATGAAATAGTCTAATGAAAGTTATATTAAAAATAATAAAATCACAGTAGATAAGAAAAAAGAATAATTGTCATATAATGAAAGAAAATAAAAATCATTTGTAGTATCCTATTTCTACTAACAAATATGTGCTTTCATGAAATTGTCTTCTTTTAGTTGCTTTAACAATGATAATAATCGATAATAATCTTCAAATCCATTCGCAATCTTGACATAATGATCAGTCCTCTGCACTTTCAAAGTTCTTATTGTTTCTAATATCTTGGTTATAATAAGTGTGTAATATATTAATATTCCTTTAACATGTAAAAGTTGCTTGTATGTAATATCATTAACATATAAGATCTTACCTCAGAATCTAATCCCGCACAAATTTTTTTTTCTCAGAGGACTTTCAATGATAGTAGTTGGTCCAGTAATCGTAGATTCACTTTTAGTATGTTTCATTTCAACACTATTGTCAACTATGAAAACTTTGGAAACTATCAGGTCTGCATTTTGATATTGCAAATTAAATGATGAAATTTTGATTTGAAATACAACAGTCGATCAATCACTCCATCAAAAATTGTAGTCAATAATTCATCCCCATTTTCCTATAATGAATTGAAATTATAATAAATATCATATGATATGATAATATCGAATCTAAAAAATATGAAAAAAAATACTTCCTTAACAGTCTGTTTGCTTTGTGAGAATGGGATAGAAAAATAGGAATATTCTTCAAAGATTCCTATTTTCCCACGTTTGTTTTGAGCGAAATGATGAGATGCGATGAGAACTAGGTTCTCAATTTTTAGGATGCGGGGTCTCACCAAATAGGTGTGACCCCACTGCGAAAATTTTATCGAAGGGAGGCAACCATCTTCTTCTCAGCGTCGTCTTCTTCTCAACTGTCGTCCAACAATCTTCTCACTGGTGCCCTCTCCGTCGATCTTTCTTGAAGGTAAGCTCATATTTGGGTTCCTCTTATGATTTCCATTCGTTTCTATACCATTTTTACCTATTTTCATGAATGAGCTCCACACGAGATTTTGCCAATGCCTAGAGTCATCTATGGTCATCCAAATCCAAAAATACGTCCGATCTACCAATGAAGGCATTTATTTTAACATCGAAGCTCAAAATCTATCATCTGGTATTTGCCTTTTTCTAGATCTGTTGTTTTTTCTAGACCTGTGTTTTTTTCTAGATCTGCAATGTGTTATATATTTGTTTCAAAGTTGTCGTTAGATCTAGTGATGTTGGTTTCGAATACATTTGTCTATGTTAGATTTCTTGTGTTGTAGATTTGTTTTAGGTCTGTTGTAGATTTGTTCTCAAATACATTCATCCTCTTCTCAATAATGCTCGAACTCATATCTATATCTTTTCTTTTTGTTGTGTTTCAGGTTATCTCAGGCAACCCAAGGGGTTTTCAAGCTAAAATGTACTACATCTCAATCAACCCACGCAAGGGGTTTTCATGTTTTGTAGTGGAGTAGTATATACTGATTTGGGTATTGAATACTTTTTGCAAATGATGATGAATAACAGTAGTATATGCTGGTTTGGGTGTTCTTTTCTCAATAATACTCTATATTTAGCAGCAGTTTCTTGAATCAAGCTTTACATAGTAGTATATGCTGATGATGAATAGCAGTAGTATATGATCTATTTATGATCATGACCATTGATTTGATTGTAATTGATGCGTAATGCTTACATCATCAGCAACTAGTAGCATATGCTGATGATGAATAGCAGTAGTATATGATCTATTTATGATCATGACCATTGATGCGTAATGCTTACACTAGCAAGTGCACTAGCTGATCAAGTAATAAAGTGATGAGTAGAGTATCGTTCCCACGAGGATTTATACAACAACTACTAGTACTACTTCTGCCATTTATTATCTGATAAATCGAATTCTTGACCTAGTCAAAATCCTAATTCCTAACTTGTAACCTATCCTAACCAATTCGGATCAAAGACCTTTTATGCAATCAAGAAAACAAGTTGTATGTGAACACTACAGATTCGGTCCAGCAATCAATTCTCAAGGTTATTCAGTTGAATTGGGATTCATCCATGGTCTAGTGAAACCCTAATGACATGAACAGCCTCTCTCGAGCGCATGCTCATTCTATCCATGAGTGATGATTCTTATATCTCTATCAAGAATCTAATCCCCATGCATGCATTAAGATCAGGAATTTGAAGGGCATCATTTCAGATTTGAATGAACACCAACCGAATCCTACAAGTTATCTCTAAATTGTATTAAATTCAGTTCTTAATTAGCAGATCGGATTATCTAAACTCTTTCTCAAGCAATTCAGACAGTCCAAGATTCAAGAACAATTCGGCCACAGCTATAGAAAATTATCTAAACTCTTTCTCAAGCAATTTAGACAGTCCAAGATTCAAGATCAATTCGGCCAAGCTATTCTAACATTTAAAAACCCTAATAAAGAAACATCATGAATGAATCCAATCAATCGAATAACCCTAGAAAACTAATTACAGATCTGAATTCTCATGAAACATTGTTCAATTACTAACAAGAAAGAGAAATTAATGGACAAGATTGCATGAAACCCTAGCTGAATTCGTTTACCACTTGCGCAGAACCAAAGAAGAAGACAACCTAGAGTCTTGATTGTTCTTCGATCTCCTTGAATGGCTTCTTCTCCAATTTCGAATTCAGCAATCTTCTCTTCTCTCCTCCTCTTGCTTCTCTCTTCTCTTAATTTGCAAAAAGTGGTTCAAACCCTTTTCTCCCCTTTCTCTTCTCTTTTTATAGTGTTCTCTTCAGCCCTCTCTCTCTTCTAAAAGGTTGTCACCCTTGGGAGCTCTCCTTGGGCTTGAACTTGAGCTACAATTGGGCCTCCCACTTGGTGGGCCGAATGGTCACCCTTGGGGAGGTTCGGCTAGGCTCTCTCCTTGGGTTCCCCCATAGAGTGCTGCATGGACCTTACTTCTATATGGGCCGAATTGCCCTCCTTAGGATTCTCGGTTGGGCCTTTCTTCTAACTGGGCCGAATTCCTTCCACTTTTGCCCCTTTTACATGGTTTTATGCTATCTTCCCTCTAAACTGGTCCACATTCTTAATTTTCTGAAATCAACCTAAATTAGGGTAAGAAACTATACAAATCAGCTGAAAGGGATGGTACAATCCATCGTATGGACGCCAAAACAGTTGCGGAATGGGTGAGCGAATTTCAAAAATTTTCTACCTACCTTTCAACTAGGAATCGCATTCCCTAATTTTAGAATCAAGATTCAAGGATCCTAACCAGAACCGAACCAAATCTGAACCAAAAGAGAAGGGAGTAATTATACCTGATCCAGAGAAATAATATCTCCCAAAGTTGGTGTTCACACCCAAAGAAGGCACCAAGATCTACTCCTGCTGAAGATGACACAGCAACTGTGGAACAGAACCAACAGAGTGCGTTCTACACACAGAATCCTTCACAAGAATCCTTTGGATGACAATGAGCACCAAACAGAATCAGGCTTTCAACAAAGACTGATATCAAGAACTTTTCTTGATCTTTCTCTGACAAAGAAAACGAACTGCAATAGATAGTGGCGGCTGCAACTGGAGGGAGCTAGAGAAGAAGATGGCGAACTGCTTTTCTTCTCTAGGGTTTCTGAAATCCTATCTCACAAAACTGTAGGGTGTGTTCTGTGTAAATCCCCTAGATTCTTGTAATTCGAATAGGGTTTCCTCTAGTTGCTTAATGATTAAGAAAAGATCTCCTGATCATATCAGGAATTGCCCATGTCCAAATATGTATTTGGATTAGAACTCTTCTTAATCCTATCTGCAGATTAGATAAGGTTTTTGGTCTCATCCTAATCTCAGATCCGCCCCTTGTTAATGACTGGTCAAATCAGTCCAGTTCGAAATGGGCTTTAGGCCCCAATAAGAATCAAGTGCTCAAAAGTCTTCCAAACTTCTGCCCAGTTGGGCTTCTTTGTATGGCGTGGGACCCAAGCATTGATCTACACAGCAGCCACATGGGTTCGGCTGAGCCTCTGTTATAAGGCCTGGCCGAATTCACTAGAGAGCCCAGTGAACCCTCTGAGCCCATCATATGGACCCTATGGGCCCAACACCTACACTAAGTGGTCCTGGGCCAAGCCATCTTATAAAAACCCAGGGACTATGGGCAGGTGCAAGATTAGCCCATCAGGTATTATCCCAAATGGCCTTACACTTCACCTCTCAGCCCATAATGATCAAGCACTGCCCGACAAGAGAGGACCTCTCCCTCGGCTGCAAGGAACAGTGCTGCACTCTCTACTTACATGGATCCCGGGAATTAAAACCATTTGCAAATATTTTGAAACCATACTTAAATATATATCATATATATAAATTTTGCAAAACAAAATTCCAATGATTGAAATCAACTGCCGGCAGTTTGGTTTCCATTAGAGAGAGTGCATCCCCGATGATTACATTTGTTCGACAAAGGGGCTGATCCCGTCAATATGATAACCCACTCAGATGAATTCTCAGACTATCCCAACATACCCAGGTTTTGACCCCCGCTAAGGATCTCACTGATTGGCATATCAAAAACAGCCCTATCCAACACCTAGTGCAGTACCATAATCGGGTCTAGGGGTCAAGTGTAACTTTTCAGTTTTGCCCATCAATCTCTAAGGTCCAGGGCAATACTGGAAATCTGGTCCGGTTCAAGGGTTCAAGTATCCTACACTGCATGTGCCTTGGGTCTCACCTTGGCGGTTGAGACAAGCCACCCCAACAGTTGGCAGCACACCAGTGTCAGCCTTGGCAGGATAAATCTCCCCAGACTTATTCAACGGCTGTGAACATTTAAAACCAACACAAGTCTCATTAAGTGTCCAGTTTTAGGGTCTTACACACAGAAGTATACCACACAACATGAATCAAACATGTAATTCATTTATTTACATTAAATATCAAAAGTACATCAAAACTGATTAAAGCTAAGGGCATACAAAAACTGTCCAACAACTCCCACTTGCACTTAGGTCCAATCTAGTACAAGCCGGAGTCCCATACTTTCCACGTGTTTCTCAAACACCTTCTGTGTGAGTGGCTTAGTTAATGGGTCTGCCACATAATCTGCTGATGCTACCTTCTGAATCAGGATGTCCCCTCTACCAACGATCTCCCGCAGTACATGGTACTTCCTCTCGATGTGCTTTGACTTTGAGTGGGCCCTAGGCTCCTTAGCCTAGGCGATCGCTCCATTGTTGTCACACAACAACAGGATGGGTGATGTGTTGGACAGAATCACTCCTAATTCGTGAACGAACTTCTTCATCCACACAGCTTCCTTGGCAGCTTCGCTTGTGGCAATGTACTCGGCTTCGGTTGTGGAGTCTGTCGTGAACCCCTGTTTGCTGCTTTTCCAGCAGACAGCACACGATCCTATCGTGAAAACATACCTAGATGTAGACTTTCTATCATCTGGATCTGATTGGAAATCGGCATCAGTATACCCCAGAATTTGTAGTGAACTACCATCGAATACCAGACAAAACTCTTTTGTCCTTCGAAGGTATTTAAGTATTATTTTATTTTTTATATCTTCTTAATCTATTTTAATGCTAGTAAGATGCATATTTAGCACTCATCAGTTAGGAAGTCACCACTGCTATTTTTTTTGGTGAAAATGCAATTTCATTACTCACACACTGTAATTTCACGTATTTACTAAAACCTATCTTATGATTAAAACACCTCTATGATTTGCAACCGTTTTATATAATCAACCTTCTTATCAAGGACCTTGGTCACATAAACTCTTAAAAAACGAGTTTAACATATGAATGATCATAAATCCTGGGTTTTTATTCCAAAAATTCCTTAACAATTGTTTATAACACACGCAGTCTATGCCTTCTTCAAATTCTCTAATCTAATCCTGTTTTGTAGATCCAGATCTACAACAACAAGAGAGATCATTGGTAGATTAAAGATACAGAAGAAACAAAATATGACAAACACCTTTTCTAGTTTGATACAGAGAAATTAAAAAAAAAAAAAAGGCTTATAGTGCTTGAGATCCAATAAGCTTTGTTAATCCAAAAGTAATGGCCATAGCCAACCACCCACCAATTAGAACCCTGAAACAAGCCCTCCCCACCGGTGCCTTTCCTATGGCCGCCCCTAGACCTCCAAATACCAACAACGCCAAACTGGAGACTGCAACCACCACCCCCAGCCTCACTCTGTATTCTTTGATGAAGGACGCGGCCAGCAGCGGAACCATAGCTCCGATGGCAAAGGTGAGGGTGGACGCTGCCGCAGCCAGGAATGGATTCGGTAGTTTCTCCTTCTTGTTTTCTTCATTGCTCTCGCTGCCATCTCTCGATCTGTTCTCTCTTTTCATCTGAGCCACTTCTATGTCCAATTGCGAGTAAACCGAGACAAATTCTCCTATCGCCATACTGCATGCTCCGGCGACCAATCCGGCAAAGCCGGTAA